GGAGAGCCAACATGTAGATTGTAGATATCTAAAGATTTATGTGCCATAGTGTGTTCATATAAGAGCTGTCTGTAACCATATAACCACCATCAAACTGTAAAATAAATAAAATAAGATTTATATATGGAAAAGACTCCGACCGCCTTTTCTAGCACGGGGAATAATGATGTAGTCAGTGAAGCGGCTTCTTTAGTGCTGCGGTGGTACTCAGTCTAAGGTCCACAGCATTCAGAATGAAACCATCTCTTGTGTGGTTAAGAGCGTCCACACGCAGCTCTTCACACTCTAGTTCCTCTGAACCACTGTTAGAAAGACAGCTCTTGTACTTTGCTGCACTTTGCCGTCCACAGCCTGTGTGAGTCATTTCCTCTTCAGAGGGTCTGAGCACTTCAGCCGCGGTTCAAAAAACTGCAGCGAGAAGAGAGGCTCCGGCTAAAGCCACAGCACTGGGATCAGTATTTTTAACCACCGCAGAGCGGGGAAAACAAACTCCCCACATTAACGCCGCTTGGCTGTTAAACTGAGGATTCAAATCCTGACATCCTCGTTCCTGCTAGTAATTAGGCGTGCGTGTCATTTTATGCTCTCGGTTACTTGGAAAGTGGGGTCACCTTTCACAGAGCCAGACCGTCAGTCACCACCACATGAACTCCTGCCTCCGGCTTTACACCTGTTGTCTGCTGGGAGACAGAAAAAGTGTGAGCAGTGTTAGCAGGCCCGGCCCTGCACCCTGATGGGGATATCTGATCCAGGGGTGGCCAACAGCTGCAAAGTGCTGTCAGCACTGTGACGCCAATCACCCCTTTAGATCTCGCTTGCCCATGATGTGCTATGACTGTAGAGGAATTTGGCAGAAAACAAAATGTGTGAGGAAACTGTAAATTTGAAACTTCTGAGAATGCAACTTGAGAAGATGAATTACTCAACCCCCTGTAAAAAACAAAACAAACATGGTCACCTTGCACATGGTTTACTCCCTTAAATACTAAATTACTCCTGAAAAAGCAGCTGCAGACTCATGCACATAAGTCACAATGGGGCGGTGGTTGTGGTGGGTGGGGGGTGTGCAGTGAATTTAATGGGGGAAAAAAATCAAGATATGAGCTACAGTTGCAGCTATTCACCCCCTGATGACACTGGTGATATATTTCAGAGCTGATGAGAAAAACAACTTTATTTCAAGTCTCGCCACAAAAAGGCAAGAAGAAAAAAATGCTTGCTGTAGTAATGAGGAGAAATGTTGCAGGGTTAACGCCCACCTTGCAGATTGTGCACTGGGCCAGTTGTCTCACTGTTGAATGATTTCAATTCTGCAACTGAGTAATCTGTGACTGAATAATGCTGGCAGCGCTCCAGCGCAGCTAAATTGAAAAACTTGGGAGTAATTTGGCCCGTGATGAGAAAGAGATATCTACACTGCTGAGTTTCTGCGCTGGATTTGTGTTGTTTTATTCATGCTCGAACGCTGATAAAGAGCCAACTGTAAATAAAGGAAGGGGCGCTGAGTCGACTGAAGCTGTTGCAGACAGTTTTCGTTTCTGCACCAGCGAGATGTATTCTTATTTGTTTGGTGAGATTTGAAGGTGATATTTCCCCTTCTTTGCCTTCTTGCTAAAGGTTAGATGAGAAGATTAAATATGTAGCTGAGGTATCAGCTTAGCATGAAAACAGGAAACAGCTAGATATGCTCTGCATAAAGGTAACTAGAGACCATGCTGCAGAGTGATCCCACCATAGACGATATAAAACAACGACATAGCCACTGTGTTATCACCAGTGTTGGTCAAGTCACTTGAAAAAAGTAATCAGTAACTAATTACTGATTACTTCCCCCAAAAAGTTTAAAAACATGATTTACAACCTTAATAGCAATAGATCTTTCAGCCCAATTCTACTTTTTCTGCATAATCCATCATATAAAATGTAATCAAATGGAAAAAGGTTTTTTCGCTGTAAAAAGAAGTTTTCTTCCCACGCAGTGAACAGCGGACACTAATGTTTTTGTCACTTTTTACGGAATCAAACTCAAAGTAAGGTCAGTACTTCCACGCTTTAAATGCTGCACGCTCATACTCTCTCCCGCACTCGATATATGATCCATTGTTGATCTGCACACAGCTGTTGCCACGAACGTCGCACTCGCTCACGTCACTGTCATGAGACACTCTCGCAAAAAATCACGGTTTTAGTAACGCAGTAACGCAGTGTGCTTACGGGAAAGTAACAGTAATCTAATTACCTTTTTTGCAATAGTAATCCCTTGCTGTACTTGTTACTTGAAAAAAGTAATCGGATTACAGTAACACATTACTTGTAACTTGTAACGTGTTACTGCCCATCTCTGGTTTTCACCCACTGGTTTGTGAACTACTATTTTGAAGTTTTTCAATTCAGTTTTATTTATATCCTGCCAGTTCACAGCAAGCCATTTAAGTGGTCTTTATAGAGTCTATGATATTAGAGAGAGAACCCCAACAGAAGCACTTGGTGACAGTGGGGAAGAAGAACTCCTCTTTAACAGGAAGAAACCTGCAGTTAACTGCCAGGATATAAGCTTTATTTATTATGGATCTCTCTAGTGATTCCTTAGTCTGCCCCAGGACCTCCTCCTCGAAGGACATGCATGAATAACATCACCTTGGAGGAGTCAATGCCATGTACCTCAAGCTAGTTTTGGAAGCTGAAGAGTCTGCAAGGATCTTTGCCCCTTGACTGCCACCCAACCACAAGGCACCAAACTCTCAGAGCCCCAGTGTGGTTGGTGGGCCTATTAGAAGGCAGATCAGTTTAGCTTCTTTAACCAAGGCCTGGCCCTGCCGTGGTGCTGCTGTCCTGGGCAGGCTAAACTAGATCTTTGATTTAAGGTTGCAATCTACCAAGGGGAGATATCCACTTCATTAGATAATAAATTAAGTTAGATCATCCTGGTCTTTTATCAATTTTTAGAATTATTTCTAACATATATTTATTTCATTTTTTCATTGATCTGGATGCAACATTTTCAGTCTGATAAATACTCATCAAATTGACTTCTTAAACTTGGGTGACTGGAGGGTTCCCCAACCTTATAAACAAGATAGCTGCATAACAGTGAGCCACAAGATTGCACATCAACTATTGTGAAACCAACTTATTAATCCCAAGGGCTGTTCACAAGGAACTGGAGAAATGACTGCAATCACAGCACTAAAAGATGGCAAATATTGTACTCTTAGGCCCCTTCTTTGGTTCAGAGGTGGCTGTCTGCCTTTTACAAACCAGTGCTCCTTTCATATCCTCATCATTGAAAGAGTGGCCACACTTGCTTTAAAGCTTATGGCACACAGTTTTTGTGCTGATGTTAATGCCAGAGGACGTTTAGAACAATCACCTATTCACCAAGACCATTTCTGCTGAGGCTTCAGTGAACAATAGATACATCAACTGAAGGGCCTCATGCATCTGTCAGATCTGTGTCAGGTCTTTGCTGCCCTGCCCCGCCACCCGCTTCTTAAGGAGTTTTAGATATTGTTCATCTGCTGAGCTTATTTTTTAACCCCTGACACATCTTTTGTCCTCCAACTGTCTATTTTCCTCCAATCTTTTAAGGTCACACTGGACTGCTAAGTTATAATCAGTGTTGGGGAGTAACGGAATACATGTACCGCCGTTACGTATTTAAAATACAAAATATGAGTAACTGTATTCCGTTACAGTTACCATTTTAAAAGGTGGTATTCAGAATACAGTTAATTTGTTGAAATGAATGGATTACACAGCTGTATTTTCCTGTTTCATAAGGCTATGAACTCTATTTTTGGTGTCCAGGCTGGTGGAAAACAAACGAAAACGCGCATTAAGAGGCTCTCATGTCACCCCTACTTGCGGCCCGCATAATGATGTGAAGAAATATTTTATAAAATGATTCACAAAAATGATTTAATATGAAGACAATAGGCAGAGTGTTACAGGCATAGCCCTAAAGAATGTAGCCTCATGGGCAGTGTAGTCCGTGCTGCAGGGAGAATGGACTGTATCATTTATGTGTCTGTGAGCACAAAGGAGGGAGAAAAGGAGTCGAAAAGTACGAGATGTCACCGACCAGAAACGGGAGATGGAAGCATGTAAATGTATATATACATATATATACACATATACAAAGTTGACCCCAAAAACAAAGTAAAGCTAGTTTTCGGCTACGAGCCCGACACGGAGCCCGACGTATTAGCCGGAGGTCTCTTTACGGTTTTATGCCTTTATGGTTCGGAGCTGCGGAGCCGTTTTATATCATATAGAATCTCATATAGAATAGTTTTCTATATGAGATTGCTGCAAAAAGTGCTTACCTAATGTCCACCCTACTGTTACTCATTTTATATTAAGATTTAAAAATCTAGTTGCTATTGGTATGGCGAATAACCTTCAGTAAAAGTAATAAATCACACAGCAATAGTGCATTCATGTAGTTGTAAACAGCATGATAATATATTAAGTAATCCAAAGTATACTCTCATTGAGTAACGTAATGGAATACGTTACAAAATACATTTTGGGGCATGTATTCTGTAATCTATAGTGGAATACATTTTAAAAGTAACCTTCCCAACACTGGTTATAATGGATTTTGGCTAATAGTTCTTCAGGAATGGCCTTGTTGGTGCAGAAATGCTATTTTGTGCCTGTGTTGGCCTTTACACTGAAATGGGAACAAATCATGTGTTTTGTGACAGGCACTTTGTTACTGGCAGGCTAAGGATTACAATCTAAAACTGGTTCTTTTATGGAGACACTGGTTCATCCTTTTACTTCGGTGCCTTTTTATGGTCATGATTCATAGGTTTGCATTAAGTTGCTTAGCAAAACAAACAAACAAACAAACAAAAAAAAAAAAAACAAGTACAAAAACTGAAATGAGTGAAAAAGTAGCCAATGTCCACAGAAAAACTTTGAAAGACCTTCAGAATTAGTTTAAGCTAACTAATAACCCCAAACAAAAATAAAGTAAGGGCACTGCTTTTTTGGGGGAGGGGGCACAGTACTCCCATCTCACAACTAAAGTGTAAAGAATCACACTTGTGAGAGCTATCAATCTTTCCTTACATGCAACAGAATAAAGTAATGAGTATTTCTGAAAGATCCAAGTCAGTTTTAGTAATTTGACTTAAATTTTAACCCAAAGACTTTATTTAAAACATGGGTAAAACATTGGCGTGGCCGACTTGTATAGCCAGAGCTTAAATATCAAACTACTAATATCCTACATTATTTATGACATTCATATGTGTAATTTGAACATACTGTTCAGTAAGACTTCCAATGTAAATATCAGTGAAACTGCTTGAGGAATTCAGTGTCACAATTGTTTTAGACCTGATAGTGGGTGCCTAAGTATACCCTTTACATTTCTGACCATGTACAAGTAAACTCGCAGATAAACCAAAGTTAACCTCACTTGTATTATCTGTACAGTTTGGCAACCTTGAAAACACCCACACAGACACACACATATAAAAGAAGGGTCTGAACAAATCACATTTAATGCCCTGGGCTTTATTGTCTTATTTTAGTGAGAGTTTTGTCACATTTTTTTAGTCTTTTCAGCCTCCAGGTGGGACAAGTAAACCTCAAGGATATATCCTGCCATTGGACTGGGCATTCAGATTCTGACAAAGACGAGAAGCACTACTAAGTAATGCTGCCTTTGTGCCTAACTCTTCATAGAAGAGAGAACATAAAATTCCCCAAAGGAAGGCACCCAATACTTGTGGTTTTTGGCCTTGCAGCCGTCTGGAGATTCTTTTTTCAAAGAAAAAAAAGAAAAAACAAAAAAACAAAAAAAAAGAACTTGAAGAAAAGGGAAGAGAGGAGAGAACAGATGCTTTCTCACAACTCTCTGCCCCTTCATTAGCATTTTTTGTTATTAAAAACTGGAATGACGAAACACGTACAGCAATTACTGTCCATTCACCTCCCTTATCACCTATGCATGAACAAGTAACAAACAAACAAAAGAATGAAGTCTTTCAATGAACGAAGGCTTACAATCAAGTTTACCACAAGAGAGAGGAAAAAAAAAAATACAAAAATAACTGATTTTCTTTTACATAAAAAATGTTTGTGGGATAAAACAAATACAAAAACGGGGGACTCCGCTTGCATGAAAATGAAGGACAACCCCATAAAGAACAAATAAAATATAAAAGCAGCATTGATATTCATCAAAACCATCAAAAAAAGAAAAAATACAATAGTGCTTAAATCAGAAGCGGCAGAAGCTTCTGGGAAGAGACTTCATCCCTGTTTTGTTACTTGTAATTGGGATAATGTTAATGGAAGCCCCCTGAAGAGAGGAGTGCCTCTCCATGAGGGAACCACACCACCTCCTCTTCAACCACCTCCTCCACCCACTTCTCCTGGCCTCCAGGTCTGTCTGTATGTATGTCACCACTGATTTTAACACGATCCACAGAGAGAAGCACGGGGAGCCAAAATAAATCTGTGTGTGTTTGTGTTTGTAGGGGGGGTGAGACCTGCTTTGTGTTCACAATATACAAAAATACCCAGGAGTCCGTAGCTACCTAACATTTACTACAGCACAGGAACCAACAAAAGGTACAGTGTACAAATAAAAATCAAAACAAAACAAAACAAAAATTAAAAAAACAAAACAAAGAAACTGTAAACACAGCACAATAAATAGATAAAAACAGCAGGCTCCGCACCATGCACATGATGTAATAAAACTCTTCTCTATACAACTCGCACGTCTCTCACACTCGCCACAAGTTACTTGGCTCACTTTTTTTTTTCCTTTGACTCCCAAGTGCAAAACATCACAAATGGACAGTTCTGTATTCAAGTAGTATATATACACTGGGTGGTGGGGAGGATATTACAAATATGAAGTTACTGTACAGATACTAACTTTGCCATATTCATAATTTACAGGTGTCAATATTTTACTTTTAACAGTAACAAAAAAAACCAAAAGGGAAGAAAGAAAAGGTTTAAAAAGTATGAGAGAGATGAGAATTGCGAGCGGCCGTGGCCACACGTCCGGTCTGCGAGTCCGAGTCCTGCCGTCCCTTTTGCATTCCCGATGCTACGATGCACAGCACCTAAAGAGCGGACTCTTTGCTGCACCGCTACTACGTCACCTCCATGGCCACTGTGTTGTCTGCTATATTGTTCAGTGCTGGCTTCTCTTCATCGTGATTTTCCCTGTGGAGACAAAGAAAAACATTAATCCCTGCTGTTCTTCAAACTTTTCTCCCACACACTTTATGTGCCACTTGTGGCTTGCTGGCAGTTATTTTGGTCATATCTGCCAGGTCCAGCTGACTACTTAAACCAGGGATTGTGTCTCGTAATGCAAAAGCTTTAGCGCTTATCTCGAAACAAACATGATATAAAAGTGAATCTGAGACTTCTGCAACACTGACAATCTTACAATAAAGTCTCTTTTGAGTTGTTTTGTACAGTCTGTGTAATATGTGATGACTGAATGAATACATATCAAAATATCTCTTCCTCTATGCATGTTTATGTTTCTTCAATTCAGGTAGGTTTATGTTGTGTCTGGGCAGCTTTGGTTCTGCTGTAAATTAATTAAAGATTGTGACAGTGTGAAGTCAGTCAAAACAACAACAACAACAACAACAACAACAAAATGAACAGAACGCAATGCCACAAAGTGTAATGATGCTGAAATCCTTTAACTCTGAAAGGGTGTGTACAGGCAGGACGGAAGGAAGTGATGTGGCAACTACGCCAATAAAACAACAGGGGGGAAAAATATTTTTAAAAAAAAATTGTAACTCCGACTCGAGTTTTGAACTGAAGCAACGAATAGTGCTGACTGATATTACAAATGTGACCAACTGTCATCTATGTAGTTATCAGCAGCGAGTTTTACTCAGATTGATCCAATATGCAACCTCTGAGTGCCAAATCTGCCTAATATTTCAAGAAGTCTGTCCAGCTGCCTATCTGATGATATTTAGATCAGCAATTGTCATATTTTGGCTAAAGATTCTCTGGGCTCTGTTACCAGTGTTTCCCCAGTCAGTGCCGGGGAAACGCTGGTATTTTCTTGTGTATTGGAGATGACTGGACACGTGTAAGCCTCATTAGTCAATATGCAGTTAAGGCAAGGGGCCTGTTAATGTCACTTCATGTCCTGAACAAAATTAAATTCCCCTGAATGGAAAGTCAAAACCTCTTTCATGGGGGCTAAAAAGAACTGAGCATGAACATGTAGGGATAAACCCATACCCTAACCCAGGAGTTCTCAAGCTTTGAGGCACCAACAGATGGGGGATGACAAAAAAATTGAATGGAGAAAAATTTCTTGGGGAATTAAACATGACATACTACTGCACTGAGGTCTTTTTTTCTTCTTCTTTAAAAAAATAAAAATAAAACTCAGCTTGAGTGAGGAAATAATTTGTTGGGGTGGGGCGTAAAAATGTTTTGCTTCTGAAGGGGTTAGGTCAGGGCAGCATGAGAGTTACTGCCCTGACCTAAACCCTCCTTTTCTTCAAGTGTTAGCACTTAATCAGGCTTTTGAAATTGTGTGAAAAAAGACGTTGAACTAAATGTAATCACAAAACTAAAAATGGTTCTCATAAAGATAGCTGGACGTGGTTGTATTTTAATTGATTTTTTTGGCTTCGGTTTCCTGTTTACACATGACAGCAACCCAAACCCATACATGACTGCCACAATCTCACACAGTGATCATATTCAACAAGTGTATCTTTCTTTATGGAGGCATGTGGGACATTTGTCCAATGGTTCTTATAGGACACAGCGTAAGTACAGTACATATAACAGAACTTAGCAATTTCATGCTTACTCAGCATTATCCCAGTTCCCTTAAGCTTAACAATAAAGATTAGTAAAAAACAAACTTATATTTACCTGCCACACATTAGAAATGCTGAGCAAAGCCTCACCTGGAGCTCATGTCCATGGATGTTGCTCCAGATACTTTGGGGATCTGCAAGTTGGTGGTGGTGGACAGCTTTAAGGCAGAGGATGGCACATTGCCAAGGGTCCGGGGGATGTGGCGTGCAGCCAGGCTGGCGGCCGACGACACGCCCAGACAGATGTTGTTCCCGAGGAGGACCTGAGTGGTGGCAGGGGTGGCACTGGCAGCGCTGCACCCCAGGAGCCCCAGTGCCGCTGCTGCATGAGCGCCGGGGTTGGAGTTGAGGGAGGTGGGGACGGCATTTGCGGGCGAAGGGGTGGCCGAGTTGGAGGAAGGTTGGAGGAAAGTGGGGGCTGCGGTGGTGGTAGTGTGCGTCGTCTGGTTGGTCTGGTGATGGGCTGCTGTTGTGCTGGATAGGTGCAAACCTTTGAAAACACCTGGTGGATGAAGAAAAGGTCTCATGAATGCAAATGATAACAGCTAATGTAGTCAGGCAGCCACACAAACCTGGAGCTATAAAGTTCCCTGTGCAATGGCAAAATACCATTTTTGGATCAGAGGTGCACCTGCACAATCTAATGCAACCCTAACCAACAGTGCTGCAATAACTTCCATCTCTCTGAAGCTTATGTTAAGTTTGTTGACACTGTCAGAGGTGCTGATGCAACACTATGGTAATTGTGAGGCTGTTGGCAGCGTTATTTTTTGTTGTTGTCGTTTGCTTTTTTTTGGGGCTTGTTTTTTCTCCCCAGCCTCTGAGGTGACATGAATGCACAATCTAAACCAAGTATTTCCAAAAATTGAGCCCTAAAGACATTACTTTAAATTGGTCTCTCCAACTATTATGTATCCTGGAAATTGTCCCTAAGATCTTTGGCTCATGCTCCTTTTAACATAAAGATATATGCACATAGCGACTACATATTTGCGTCACTCACCTGCACCTGGGAGGATCCCATTGACTCCACTCGTGACTACCGGTACTGGGTCCTCTTTGGACTTACAAGCCAGCAGCTGATCCGTGGTGACGAGGGCTGAAGCAGCAAACTGGGCGCTGGCCTGGTCTAATGTCTTGGATATGAGCGCCTGGAAACCAGAGACATGTAGAAAAAAGAAAACGTGGGTCTGTGCCAAATGCTTGACTCCTGCGTTAAAATGTATGAAACTGCTGAAACAACTGAGCTCAGCACTTTTGTGGCCAAATCAGCTAAGGGCATTAATGCTGCTCGTGGGAATGAGGATGTGTCCCACTTCCTAAGGATGAGGGAAGTGACCTTCAGCTGTAAATCAGTGGGAGAAGTCTGGCTCATTTAGTTTGACTACTTGGCCAGAAAAGCACATTTTAAATGTGCCACTTGGTTGCAGAGAATGACACAAGTGTTGAGAATCATCCCAGCAATTCTGGACAGAATATTACACTTCTGTGGTAATACCACCTCCTCCTAATCCCGTTGCCTTCTTAATACTGGACAGCTACCTGAGTCTACTACAATAAAAAGGTACAGAAAGGGTATTAGTCTACACTGACCTGTGTGTTGGTAGTTGTAGGAACAATATTGGCTTGTTGCTGCTGCTGTTCGCTCTGCTCCAGCTGCTGTTTCTGCATGAGGGCCAGCTGCTCCTGGTGCTGCTGGTACTGCTCAGCCGTGAACACTGTGTGAGAGAAAAGGCAAGGGTGAAAAACAGGATGGGGGAAATGCGCTTTTTCGCTTCAACATTCCTTGGATTGGCTTCTACACAGCAGTAAAGACTGCAGGACTGTTAAGGGTGTGTGTTTATGCTCCAGCTGTCAGCAAGCAGATTATGGTTGTTAAATCAATTCCCAGATAAAAATTGATCCTGAAAATGCTTACTATTGGATTATTTACTCATTTGTGACAGTATTGATACCAACAGTGCTGTCTTTGCCTCCTCCAGCTTACACACAACTTCAGCTAACACTGCTGCCGACAGGCAGGCACACAGTCCCCCTTCACTAGCAACTGCAGTAGTTCACCTTTACAATGCTAAACAACACAAGAGGTCACTACTCCTGTTTCAACTCCTTTTAATGAACACTTATCCATAATGTTTACCCTGGCTGGTGCATCCATACAAGGTAGCCACTTTTAGCAGCTACCCAACAGTAACACACCCAGCTTCTGGGAGTCACAAGCTAGTGTACTCCTGGTGCCTGTTAAAGGCTCAGATAATTGGCAGAGCTGCGACAGGAAGCTCATCTGGCATAAAAATCAGTGACAAATTAAACATGTGGATTAATGTGCTCTGTCAGCCTTTGTGGAAATAATTTGTTATGATAGCAGCAAGCAGATATGGCAAATTTAAAACAGCTAACTATAGGTGCTATGCAGCAAGAGCTATCAGTTTGTCCATTTGTAAAGTTAATAGATGGTTAATTTAGCAGCATACCATAGTTTTATTTAAAGACTGTGGTTTCTCTTAAAGTCCCAGATTAAAGCTGTGAAATTTCTAGCATCAGTCAGAAAAAGGGGCCGCCAATAACGGTCCTTTATCAAGCCACTTCATCAACATGCTTAAAGATGAAGAAAGCTAATCTTTTCAGCTGCTTCCAACGACCAACACGTTGTTTTACATAGAAATGAAGGTGCTGAAGTAAGAACAAGCTGAAACAAAACATTTCTAAGCAGATGTTGGGTTTAGCGTAATTTTTTAATCTGGCTGATTTCTTTGGCTGCTGATAGCCTGCAGGCATGTCAAAAGAGGGAAATAGTGTTTGGTTTACTACATTTAAAAAAAAACAAACAAAAAAAAAACATCTTTAGATACTTTATATAACATTATTAATAAAGTAACTAAAACATGATTCCATATTGTTACAATTCAAGCTACTCCCGCCTTTTTAGCAGACAAAAGAAAAACGTAGGCGGCCAGTAAACCCGATCTGCTGGTCCGGCACGGTGGATGAATTTAAAATAAATTACATATACATGCAGCATTTATTTATTTCAAAATCATTCAAGAATGATTGTTAATACAAGCAGTTACAGACACAACTTGGCTTTCTGCAGATGTATATAAAATGTAGTTCCTTTGGGGGGCTTTTAGAGAGAACGATCCAAAGGTTTGGTTGATGTAGGCGTCTTGCCACAGGGTACAGAAAAATGTATAATAAGCTAGAAAGACCAGTTTGAAGGCCTCTCAAACACAGTCACACAATGGTTTATGCTCAGGGGGCATGACTGTACATTTCAAACCTGTATATGCACAGTGATATAAGGTTCATGCTAGCAGGGCTTGCGGCCACTTCGTGAGCTTGCACAGAGCTCAACAGTGTACGACACTGCACTGTGACCAAGAATGTGTCAAGCTAGGACAAGAATAACAATAGCAAACAAGGACATATTTCATGTTTTCATACATAGTTTGTTTTACACTGTATTGTAAACAGTAGAGCAGGGCGATATGGCCAAAAATATTTATCACGATATATATTTGAAAATTTGCGATAACGATATAACTGACGATATAATTGATGCGAGACAAAATACAACTCCACAACATTACTAGCGCAAAAAGACAACCTTCCATTTATTTTCACTTAAACAAGAAGCTGGTTTTTATGTACATTAAAGCTTTATAAAAATGTAACAGTGCAAATGCAAATTCCTTGCTGAAAGTTTAACCAAAAGGCATTTCCAGTAGAAATGGGCTGACATATCCTGAGCATAACCATGTATAATATCCACTGAAGTTAAAAAGAGGTGCTTTGCAACATTAAACTGCAGTGTGCAGTACGTATTTTTCGGACCATAAGGTGCACGAGGATTATAAGGCACATTAAGCGAAACAAAGCAGTCAGATAAATCAAACTTTATTAAACTCATTCTTCTTGCTTCCTCCACTTCTGTACCATTGATTCATTAATGTTGAATTCTCTGGCAGCTGCTCTATTCCCATGTTGTTGCAGTATATTAATGACTAACCTCGTATTGTGGATGGATTATCTCAGTTGTTCTCCTGACTGAAGTTTGGTCCGTTTACAGCATCCTGCCATGCGATTGCATTTGTCTCTAACTATCAGGAACCTTAACGTTAACTTTTATAAGTGGAAAAGTGTTAGTGTTCGTCCTCCAGCTTCACTGTTTATGTTATGCTAACATAGCTGTGTCGCTAGCGATCACGTAGCACATCATTATATACCAGCTAGCCCAACTTCAGTAACCCTACAAACGTCACTGCTGTTTAGTTTCCTGTCTTCATTTATGTTGGAAGTGATAGCAGAGCTGTACGTTTGATTTTTTTCAGAAATCTCTCAGTCAGAACATGCTATATCATGCTTAGGTAACTAGCGAAACTAGCGAGCTAACTTCCGCTAGCTTCCTGCTAACTTCTAACTCCGTTAAATGTAATAAATTTTGTTTTCATGGATGCCTGGAAGTTAAACTTCATAGTTACACCTGGTAAAGCAGCAATGCTGATCGTTTTATTAAAGATGAAAGAATTTAGACAGTTTTTAACTCTCAGTGATGCTGCAGTGTTCGTTTGACCTGAAAAATGACGGAGTTTAGGACCCAGATTACTCCCAGATTTAAGAGCATCTTAGTCCGACAAATACGACAATAACGACGGCCGCTTGCATGTTCTGCAAAAAAATGTGCTTTGTCGTGTATCTGACGGACAAACACCAAACCAGTTCCACATCACTGAAGTTGCACCATTTTTACAAACCAATTCTGGTTCATCTGTTTCACTCAACAATCGGCCATGTGCGTATGAAAACAAAGGCACTGCGCATGCGCGTTTTACTCATATTCTATCGCGATATTTCATTTTCCTATCGTTGCCTAACATTATACCGGTATTACCGTGAACGGTATAATATGGCCCAGCCCTAGTAACAGCAAAATCTCTATTCATGTTTAAACTATGGCTCAATGATTTGAAAGAATGAAGTTCAAATGCTTTAATAAGAGAAGACACCCCCCCCCCCCCAAAAAAATGTAGTTTACAGTTATTATCTGAAGCTAAATAGCTTCTCAGATATCCACGAATTACAGGCTATCCAATTACATGACTGCCACCTCATGTCTCCATGCTGTGGACATGCACACAATCAACATCATTTCAAGTTTTTCAAAGGTGGCAGCAAAGGCTGGGCAAAAAAGACATTTTAATTAAAAAATAAGATTTTTTGTTTTTGAATAATTGAAAAAAAAAAAAAAAAAAAAAAAGCTGAATTTTTTGGTATAAATGTTCACTACTTGCTTTTAGGAAGTTTGTCCTATAAAGTAGTGTGTCTTTGCCCCTCTCTGAAAACCCTAACTCAACTATTTAGTTAATTTTGGGTCAATAAAATGATTCATAGATCAGCTAGACCATAGGTGTCAAACTCTGGCCCGCGGGCCAAATTTGGCCCGCAGCCTAATTACATTTGGCCCGCGAAGCCATACCAAATTACTATTAGAGCTGGCCTACTGGTATTATACAGCTAATATATATATTGTTTAGTATTAAGCTTTGCTTGTTCCATATTCAGTTTTTCAGCAAAACGTGTTTGAGTCCATAAGAAAAGATTCATTCTTATATCTGGAGGAATAAATATATTTCAATAAATATTAACGTTAGCCCGCGACTTTGTTCCAGTTTTGAATTTTGGCCCACTGTGTATTTGAGTTTGACACCCCTGAGCTAGACTAACAGGTGCCCTCATGCCCTTGCTTGGTCAGGAACCAGCTCCTTACCAGATAACCTTGTGCGCCCCACCTCCCCAACGTCTGTATTTTATCCATTTATTTCACTCTCCCTTAACCACTCATCCTACTCAGGGTCACAAAGAAGCTGGAGCCTATCCCAGTCACAGGGTGAGGGAGGCTACACCCTGCAGGGGATACCAGACTTATTTTAAATTAAAATTATATTTAAAATATAAAGAAATTTGGTTCCTTCTTTATTTACTAAAGGGACAGCCACAGTAGATGGATCCACATGTTTAGTTTGGCACAGATTTTACACTGGATGACCTTTCTGACGCAACACTCCCATTTATCCGGGCTTGTGACCGACAATATGAGCACACAAGCCCCATGAATTTGTGTCTCCTCTTAAACTGAGGATTTTTTGCAATGTATGGCGCTTAATGTCTGAACAAATCTGCTTGGGCCAAATTCTTACATGTCAGCTCATTCTGACACAGCTGCCAGACAACCACTTATTTCCTACACCAAAGTATTGCAGGACTGCACTGCTCCTCACAGCTTTCAGCTGACTAAACTTTACATGTTGCTTATCTAAAATGTCCCATCACAGAGAGAGGTGGAGTATCTGAGTTGACCGTACTTGTTTACGGCATCCTTTACAGATATAAGCACTGTCAGGAGCTGTGAGGGCTGAAAAGCAAAACAATGAACTGGTGATAGTGAGTAAGTAACCTGGCAGTCTCATTGCTTTCCTTTTTTGTAAAGGCAGACGAAATGTTGAGAAGACATGGAGGAAAAACTGGTTTCATCTGTGCTTAATTTTTGTCGTTACACAATAAAATCAATAAGAGTTTCCTCTTTAACTTGCCAGTACTGTCAAACAAATAAGTGTAAACTAAGTCAAGCCAGGCTTCTGGTAAATTCATATCCTCTTTAAATTGTTACCCAGTCTCTGAAATCACCACCCTGTTTTCCTATCTCCAGCATTGATTCACTTCACAGGATATTCCAAATCTGTTTAGAAAAAGCCATGTTCTAAGTGAATCCCCCAAGCTAGGGGAACATATCATTTTATGTATGAAAAGGAAAGGGGGAACAAAAGTACAAAGTTTGTGATTTTACTAGGCATGAGCAGAGCAATCTACCTTTAAGGTGCCTCATCAAAAAATGTTACACAGGTAACATCCCAAAATAAATGCCAACTAACAGCATTATTGCTGCATTATGCGTGGATAAACCTAACTGCACTGCTCCATGTGCAACCCAGAAAAACAATTCTGCAGGATGTGTTTTTGTAAACACAAGATGAGCTGAAAACTGACAAAATCAAGAAGCAATAAGAAAACAATCATAAAGTACAGCACGGTGCTCTACAAACCCCACTCCAAACAAGTCTCCAGATTCTTAGAAGATGACTGACAACCCATAATTAAAGCAGCTGTAAAATTAACTGAAAACAAAACTGTATTTCTTCGTGTGTGTGTGTGTGTGTGTGTGTGTGTGTGTGTAAGTAAAATACAAAATGATGTGTTTATAGTTGTGACATGGAGCTAGCAGTGGCTGCACACTCCTGATGCCATAATAAACTTCGTTTGAGCACAGAATGCGTTTATAGAACTGTTGGGACATAGCGTAAAACTTCAAAACACTTAAAAAAAAAAAAAGTTTGATCATTGGCAAAAAAAAAAACCCAAACAAAAAAAAAAAAATCAATAGCAACATTGTGTAATGCACCAAAAGACAAAAAATAAATAAATCTCTGGATGCAGCAGCCAAAGCTGGAAACTAACGCAGGTTCTGTAGTGAAAAATCTATTCCTGGACCTCTCTGAAAACCACTGTCAGTGAACACAGTGGATCACTGAACGCAACTGAAATGTTTACCATGCAAAGAAAAACAAAGCATAGATGTACAACAGTCTCCAATAGGCCCTAGTTCATTTTAAGTAAGACTAAGGTTTAAAAAGGAAAACTGTCTGCATAAAAACTGGACACTGAATGGCCCACGAGATCTGTTATTATTCCACAGTCCAAAATTTCAGTAATGAAGTTATATGACAGCATAGCACTGTATCTACACCAGCATTTGATAACACTCTGCTTTCAAAACTAGAAGAATTGGTTTTCTCATTTCAGCGCCCTCCAAGCAAGCACTGTTTAAAGATGAGGTGATCCTCAGTGGTACCAAGGCTCCAAAACCAACATTTTACTGTTTTTTAAAAAAGTTGATGCCAGCAACACATTTCCGAAAACAAAATTTGCCTGTACATTTTATGTGCTGGCCTATTTCCAATTAAAGACTGTCTTACAAATGTATATTTTACTCAGATGAACCAATTTCTTCGAACACACAATTCAGTGTTTTACCATCTTCCACTCAGAGCTATGACAATAAACACAAAGTGAAAACAGCCTTCCCAGAGAGTCCCACATTTGTGATTTAAACCTTTCAGTATACTTTTTTTTTATAGCCATGTAGACAACTAATGTTATTTAACTGCATGCGTAGGGACACTTGTGACCGAGTAATGTAAACCTATCCCTAAAAAACAATAACCAGCATGGTAGAATAAACAAGTGACTTACCATTTACAGGAGTGGTGGCTGGCCCAATGCGATTCTGGGCGCTGGCTCCTCCAGACAGGGTTCGGTTTAGTCCTGACACAGTCCAGCTAAAATCCCTAAATCCTCTGCGTGACAAATCTCCACCCAAAGGGTGATGAGATAGCGTCCGTGGTCTGAAGTGCCTCCAGCGGCAAGATTTAATGTTCAAAAGAATCTGGCTGAGGTCCTTCGGTTTTAATGACGACAGGGGTGATGAAGATGGGGGAAGGTGGAAGGAGCTGGCTGGGTCCGAGGTATTGGTTTCTGAGGTACTGGCGTTGGAGATGTGGAGCGGAGAGCTTGGAAGTGGTGAGGCGAGTGGTTCGGGCTCTGGGTCAGAGTCCAGGCTCTGGCAGATGTTGTCTACATCTGTGTGCGCTCTGTCCAACAAGATCCTAAAACATCAACATGTTACGTGAGCTTTTTACTACCAGTCATTAAAGGTCTGTTTACATGAAAAACATGCTTTAGTCATTAACAGCACAACATCAAGGTCCTACGATAATGACTGCACTGAGTGAAGCATTTCCCTGTGAAACAATAAAAATGTTCACTGGAGAGGACCTCATATAGTGGGCTATTTCATGAGAAAAACAGAATACTTTTGTAATGACATAAGTCTAGCTTATTACTTCATAGGTTCAGCTGGGTAATATTTAGCAAAAAATGAGACAACTGCTGTTAGAAGTACAGCCTTATCACTCAAAATGCAAGGCCATGTTCTAGCCCTAGTAAAAAACATACAGAGACATTTTAAGATGTATTTAAAATTGTGCTTGAAATGTCAGAAAACAACCCAAAACATAATGCACTGAAGCACAGTACTACAATTTATACGTATGTCTTACAGGTTTTAGTTAAGAGTTTATTTTTTAAATAACACTTTATTTGAAGTTTAAGACCAACTTGCAGTTAAAATACACATTAAAACTGAACATAATCAAATCAGTTCTTTGTGTTTTTAATGTATAGTTAAAAAGTGAATGAAAACATATGAGACCATTCCAACTTTAAAACAATTTAACACCTTTAAAGAGTGTTTGTTACAAAATATCTTCTTAAAAAAAACAAAACTTTATCAACCTACACACATCCTCTTAAACAAAATAAGGCAAACAACTGAACCGTCACTGACATTACAAACCCCACAGCCACACTATTGTTAACCCACTTTCCATGCTTCCTAACACGATCAAGTATTACCATAGTACATTATACTGAAAAGATGTTTCAATTCAGAGCTAGAGGAATCCTTCAATCTCCCTTGGGGAAGTTGATAAGGTCACTGCAGACACAAACAGAACATTGCTTATCTCATGTGTGCCCGGGGAGCAGATACTGTGTGACCCTCGTTTGGTCTCTTTCACACCTGGCACTGAGGAAGCTGCTACCCAGCTCGGTGTATTTAACTGTCTGTGTAAATACTGAGGAGATATCAGAAAAGGCTGCAGGGCAGATTTAAGTTTTGTTTTTTAAACTAAACACATGCTACAGTGACAGGTAAATCCTAAAATGGGACTGTCATGTTCATTTCACCTGCCAGCTTGATATTTATAATAAAATGTGCCTGCCAAACGGTCGCTGGTAACCTGCCAAAGAGTTGGAATGGTAAACAACCTTGGCAGTGACAGCTAACACTTGGCTCAATTTCCTCTGCTCCATTTGATACTGGCAACATTCCTAAACACATTTCATATTTTATTTCTCCAGAATTTGGAGAAGTTGGTACATAATGAAAACCATGAATAGTAATACCTTCGTGTCACCCTTATTGTTCTTCATGTCAGGATGAAGTGCTTCGCAAAAATAATTAAAGAAATAACACTGTTTTTTCTTTTTTGTTAGAGTGGGGTGGGGCGGGTTGATTTACCCAAATGATCAACACATGCATGACCCTCAAAGGCTCTGTAACAAACAGCCAGACTGAACTCACCTGCCGCCTCTGGCCACACGGCGCCTTGACAAACCTATGCAGCGCCTTGGGATGTTCAGCGAGGTCAGACAGTAGCGGAAGCGTGGATCGCCGAGCCCACCATCTGATGGGCTTACCCAGGGCCAGCTGCCACTCTCGTCTGGACGATACTGAGGGAAGATAAAGGGGGGAAAAAAAAAAAAACGATTAGATCTGAGAACAAACAGAAGTCGAAAATAAAACAGGTGATTTCATTATTGCATTGTTCTGTCCAGTAGAGTGTGGAAGAGAGAGCAGCCAGACTGGCCAGCCTGCTGTTGGCACTATAAATAGAAGCACGGGAGTCACAGGAGGGCACTCACAGCGTAGTACTGACAGCCGGCCTTCCTCCTGAACGCATAGCAGCCATCTGGGTCATTCTCTTCTTCTGCCTCTGAGGAACCTGAATGGATCTACACGACACAAAAAATTTAAGTAAAGGAAAAGCTAGGGACTTCAATTCATGCCCTCCTAAAGGGAAAATAAGAAATGTATTACTAGCCAAACATGGTTTTTACAGATGGAACACACAATATCATTGCTTTCAACTTCTGTTCCATGTTTGTTCATGTATAATATTAGTCTCTGTAAAAATCCCACTGAAATTGCATCACAACCGAAGGGCTGGAACCAAATGTTACCTGTGAGAATGGTTCTTCATCTGAGCTGGGGAAATCATACTGGTTAAGGTCCTTGGGATTGAACACAGGGGGCCCTGAATGTTGAGGCGCTGACATAGGCAGGATTTTGGGTTTCTTTTCATATTTCCTTTTGGTTCGAACTGCCTCCGTCTTCTCAGGCTGTGAAGAAGGAAAGGAAATGAAAACATGTTTATACTGCAGTCTGTGTAATCAAGAACACTTTTTCATACGCGACACAATACTGCTGGCGGCAATTGAGTGTTGGTGGTCTATGCACAGGCGCCTAGAGTGTGTGCAGAAACAACAGCAAGTAAAGAGAGGCATTGATATGCAGATGGTGGCACGTGCCAGATGCCGCTGCCTAGCCAGATGGCTGTCCTCCCCCTCCCTCCTAAATCTACCCCGTGCCACCTTTCACCCCCAAACTTCCCCAGTGGGACAACCCCTCCCTGTCTGAACACGATCCAACTTCTGCTAGGATTAGTAGGATTTCATTCAGTCCTTACACTCTGGGGACAAAGCAAACAGAGAGGCAGGGAGGCTACAGTGAAGAACGGCTGTGCCTAATCACTGTAAAAAATAAGGGTTGGAGTGACGAGGGAGGAGGGGTAGAGTTAAACTGAAAATGAACGTGTGTAAATAAAAGCAAAAGGTCAGCCAGCTGGTAAAGGGGAAGAGGAGGAGGCAGAAGATAAAAGAAGGGGAAATGGGTGTCTCATTGCAGGGCAAGGGGAGAGCTGGTGGACACTGGAGCTAATGAAGTTCCGATGACACTGAGGTCACAACTGTGCAAAGTAATTAAGTGCTATAATATGTAAACAAAGGGACGTTTAGCTTTATATCATTACATTTAACGGATAAACAGGATATTTATTGTGGTAAAACACTGTCCAACATTTGCTCCTGTGTGTTGTTAAGAACTGTTATACTATAATAAACTTAAGTACAAATTTGCAGTTTCTTGTCCATAAGGGAAATTATTTTTAATAATTTAGACCTAGTTGTCATTTCGAACCATGCACCCTTTCAGAATGAAAATGCCGAGGTCTGATATGACTCAGTGTGCCAATACAGAGTACAGCATTAAGCAGCTTGAGTGAATTGACTCAACTAAAGGACGAATTCAAAGTCAATACAATTTCCCGTAGTTTGCTCATCATTCTGTATCAACACACACACACACACACACACACACACACACACACACACACACGCACGAGCTAAGAACAATGTTTTTTTTGTACGATTCCTGATGAACATGTCCTTACTTTCTTGTAGTCCTTCATGTCCAAGTGGTCCTGATGTCTGTACTGGTTACTGCTGGACAGGGGAATGATGGGGATGGTGTAAACAGGCTTCACCAGAGCCCGCTGTGCCAGTGCTTCTGCCATCACCTCACTGCCAAAGTCTGGCAACACATTCCTGGTGGACACAGAGAGAAAGGCAAAATATGAGGAAAATCAAAGCAAAGAAGTTAACGATTTTGTCAGGGGTGCGATACTTTCATTCACGGTTCGATATTTTTTCGATACAAAAAAATGTTCATGCCTTTTTAATTTGTAATTTATTAAAATTATAAATATATATTTTAACTCAAAAGTACAGTTTTTAAATTTAATGTTGCTGAAACAACAATAAAAAAAATAACATCTGATCGAGAAATCACTCATCTTTGGAAAAGAGAGTTTATTACAGAGAAATGGCTCTTTCCAAAATAAAAGCTATACTATACGCTTCTTCTGGGCTATATTCTCAGCAGCATATTAAACATATCAGGTCCCCATAAGGAGAATCATGTGCTAACGGCTGTCTAAATGACTCGGGTAAAGTTTGTAGCATGCTGCTTGTTGTTTTTGTCTGCTTCCACTTGTCTTTGCACTAGGATGATGTCGGCGTAAATGTGCAGTCATATTCGTTGTGTTCCCACTAGTGCTGTCAGCGTTAATCTCGTTGAAATGACGTTAACGCCACAACACGGCAAATCTCCGTTAACGAGCTACCGCGGATCGCCCCGTGCGTGGGGCTGGACGGCCAACACGTTAACGAGCTAACTGCGCTAACGCATAGTTCCCACCAATGTAATTGAGCATTGCGTGGCACATCCAACATACTGTTTTACTTTTGTCCATGACGCGTTTACCTATCAGGGTCATACGTCACATGAAAACCAAAATAGTTCCAAACGCCAGATCTGAATGAGGGTGGGGGAGGTTCAATTTGCCATGTTGCAACGAGCTTAGCTTCTGTCTTGCTAGCTTGCGCTGCGCTCAGTGGATCTGCACTCGACAGTGCAGCCTAGGCGGAGTAGTCGAACGCAGATCCACTGAGCTCTCAACACAGACAGCATCGTCAGAAGAAAAGTTGATAAAATAAATAAAAATTTTGTATTGTTCGATACATATGCGATACCGAAACTGAAAGCACTGTATCGAACGGTTCAATATCGATACGAGTATCGTTGCACCCCTAATTTTTAGTATTACAACTGCACTCCTGCCAACTTCAGCTTTATCAGCTCACACAGTAAGTATGAACAATTATTGGTAAAACAAAGCTCAATCGGATATTTGACAAAAGCCCATCTATAGCTGATCCAGTTTACTACACAATAAATCTGCAGCAGTGTATGAGTTGCCAGAAGGAGATAATGCATCAATAAAGAAGCTGGAAGTGTACAGGATACAAAGTAACAGTGCACTCAACTCCAGATCTGTGAAGATGGACAGAGTGCCCGGTTTTTACTGGTGATGACTTCTCTTTTTTTGCTGCATATTTGTTATAGAGGACGTTAACAGAAAAGTAATGGGGGGTTGGCTGCCTTAGAAATATAGAATGCTTCCGAGTTTCACAGTGAGGAGCAGAGTTTGTTTACTTAAGACTGGTATCGGATCAGAAATGAATAGTTGAATCAGTGCATCCCAACATGTCAGTTCAACAATAACATTAGACATAATAATACGAAATATTACACACTTAGGTTCAAGTTGTTTTTATTCGCTTCCGTTTTAAATATTGTAGATGACATACTGTCATGAAGACCGCTCGGGCTCTAACAGATGCATCTCCCACATAGTTTTAGTTGACTATATTAAGCTTGGAAATTTGTGTAAACTACTTCAATTTATCACTAACATTACCATGAATAATGTATAACTGCTAACATCATGCAGCCACAGTTGAAACACAAAAGAACCTAAACTTCAATGCACAGTAAGGGCTTGAGACACACAAATGACAGACTGCACCCACCAGACATTACACCTGAGCCCCTCTACAGCAGCATAGCATCATAAAGTGACCGGGAAAAACTACCTACTGGGAACAGAGTGGTCCAGTCTGAGAGTGAGCACTAGCTGTGATGCACAGGCAGAAACCAGGCCGGGATAACAAGAGGAAATTGAAATGTCACTACAAATCAAAAGCACTTCAAGGAGAAGGGTCCAATTTAAACTCACGCTGACAGCTACTTTCAGAGTAAATTCATTCCATTCGGATGTCATGTTTAGATGGATTGCAAAGGCTCCACTGGGGGGTGGAGGGAGGACAATCCAAAATGGAGTTTGGAAAACACAAAGTTTATATTTTATAATACAGAGATACCCTGCCTCCCGCCCTATGACAGCTGGGATAGGTTCCAGCGCCCCCCGCGACCCTGAAAAGGATAAGCGGAAGCGAATGGATGGATGGAATACAGAGATAGAGTCCACTATACTGCTTAAAAGACTGGGGAAAGCAAAGCCTTGACCAGGACCCAGACATCACTGAGCTAATGTGGTCCAAACACTACTGAATAAACAAGGTGAACTTTGCATGGAAAAGTGCATTTAACTGTGACCCCAATTAACAGGACCAGTGAAGCCTGGCCTTACAGAAAATATGTGGTTGACTTTTGTATGATCAGTCATGCAGACAAGCATTGTGCTGAATTTCAGACTTGGCAAGTAAACAACAGGCTAATCAAATATGAAGGTTCACCACATACACTGTCCAAAACACCACGCTGTTATCATCTCAGCTTCTTAAGATGTTATCAGAAAGCATTCTCAAAACAGGACCAGGGCACAGCCGTTAGCTATTACCCTGAATGACCCGCTTTTGAAAATGTCATCCAATCAGATAAGTGGGGCATGCGGTTTGAGAGTACAAGTGAAAAGGTCTCCTTTATAGCAACTACTTGTCTGACAAGGTGCAGTTTAGTCAACTTTCTTACCTCTTTTCCACAATTTCCAGTGTGAGGTGCAACAGTTCCCTCTTGCTCTTCTCTCTTCTTTTGATCATCTCTAAGATGGTGACAGCTCGACTCAAGTCCCTGCGCAGCTTCAGCATCTTCTCATATGAGGCCTCATCATTCTTTCGATTCTGAAAACGGAGCAGTGATGATTCAGTGTCAGAAATATCAATTCCAATATTTTGCTTGTGAATACTGTATCAATACAGAAGCTTAGCTGCAATAGACAAGAGGTGATTAATCACAATGTTACTGCAATAGTCAGCAAACCACACAATCTAAAAAAATCTTTTTTAAACAGCAAAATAATGTCATATTGTGAGTTAAATATTGTGATAATCTCATTCCGTGAGGTGTCTGGTGGATGTCACCTTAAATTAATTTCCATTTTAACTGAAAATCTTTAAAAAGGTTAAGGTATGGAAATATTCAACTGCTCATCTTTCATCTTAGGGGAACACTACTGTAGGGACAAAATATTTATCTGCCTCATCTAAACCACTTTAAAGCCAATATGTTTGGACCATACCAAAACCCATGGAAACTGCTTATATAATTACATTGGTAAAAAGATAATACAAGGGTTCTAGGTTTTTATCTTCAAAAGTTGGATTGGTGAAGCCCCAGTAGAAATGTAGGTCAGCATAATTTATGTCCTTTAATTTGCCTTTATCTTACTCATTTTTGGCTAGAAAGTCCTACCTTCCTAGTTTGCATCTTCTCTGTCCGTCGGCGAAAGGCCACATAAGGGTCGCTGGTGCTAGAGCCATCCCTCTTCTCCTGCTTGACGCTGGGGATGAGGCAGCCACCCTTGCTGGTTTTCCTCTTCCGGCTCCAGTAGTCAAAGACCTCCTTGATCAGTTCATCGTCCTCCTTCAGCAGCAGTTTGGCTTCCTGTAGACTGACAAGCTACAGAGCAACACAGGCCAGACCAAGTTAGTGTAATGGCCTGAGCCACATCATTCTGGAAATAATTATTACACATAGCTGAGCACTTAAGTCCAGCTGGTTTAAACAAGCAGTCACTATGAACACACCAAGACACAACAAAACAAAGGCTTTAGATTTTAAGCAGTCACGCTGCCTTCAGGCACATCACAAACTCATATTTTGTCTTTTTCAATGTCACGTGAAGTGCTTATTCGTCAATAAATAGTAACTTTTAAAGAAACCACTGACAAAGAGAATAACAGGCCTCTCAAATGACTAAAATACAAGTTAAACATAATGGAGTAATGCAAAAAGTGACTCAGAGTGTACATTTTATTCAGTGTAAAGTGAATAAAAAGACTGTGTGCATGCAAAGCAATACTTTCCCCACACAGGGTTACATATACCTGCTGTCCACTGCCTTTTTCCAGCCGGTCTATCATTTCTTCAAACTGCAGAGCAGTGATTTCCATTTTCTTCTTCAGCTTATTCACAAACGTCTCATCCTCTGAATCTAGGTCATAGTCTGGCTGCTCTGTATCCAAACTAAAAGCTGTGGGAAAAAAAGAAAAAGAAAAAAAAGAGCTGGTTACTGGAGAGACAGATGCAGCCAAGAAAATATTTCAAAGACATTGCAGGAATGAGGCTGCTGAACTAAACAAAACATCACTTTTCTGAACAATACCAGCAGAGGCTGCAGTGTGTATCAAATTGATGAATCAATATTAGATAACTATGACACATTTCAGTCAGCAAAGCCTGGGCTTACAATACAGAGACTTTATAATTCACCATCATTTTGTGTTTAGCAACAGTGCCTTTCAAGCAATGTCAATAACACAACCCATAGGATATGAACTGCTGAAGCCTTTATCTTCAGCCAACTGCAGCCGAACTATGCTCAAAAAATAAACAGCATTTTATCATAACAAAGCACTGTGCTTCAGTTTAGTTGTGTGCTTTCACCCATTCAATAAGGCAACACTTTAGGACAAATATGAGATGTGAATGTAATCTACCATTTGAACATAAATATTGCCCCTGGCTTTGTATTTTTTTGGCCCTGCCAATCTGACATTGAGATTCTGCAGAAAATAAATTCAAAGTGGCTGTCACTACTGTGGCCCTCGGGTGAAAAAATAAGATGTTTACTGAACAGCCACTATCAGAGCCACTGTAATCAACACATTAACCTGTCAAAGCCAGTGGCATTTGGAAAAGCTTGCAGTGTTACCCTCACCGCCCCTACATTTAAAATGTTAAGATGACTGCCAAATTATGGTGAAAGTATCTGCAACAGCAGTCTCAAAGTTTGACATTTCACTAATGCGAACACAGGACATTTCATGGCTACAGTAAATGCCAAACAACAAGACTTAATCTTAAAGTTTTCTTAAGAAAAAAAAAGCAACAACTATGTGTGTCAATATTATGTCCACATGAAAAAGCACTAACTTTCAGAAAACCGTCCAGAAAACAAAACATACAATATAAATACACATCTCTTAGAAAAGCGCTTCTAATTACTCACAGGTTTCTCATCAAAACCACAAACACTAAAATCTCTCAATCAGCAGGATAAACACCCTGAAGCCATCCAGTGCAGCCAAACGGCAACATCACCACATGCTCACAGACCACTAACACAGCTAAGAAGATAATCCACTTGCACGCAGCCTGCTACTCACGCTGTATGTGAATAAGCTGCTTTGGCATTTTGAACTCCCCGGGGTAGAGGGACTCGTAGTGCGTGATGTTGCACTCCGCCTCGGGGACGGGGATAACCATGTTGTCCCGCTTCTCGCCATATACCTGCTGCGCTGAGATGGCCCGCTGGAGATGGTGCTCCTGAAAGAGAGAAAGAAGCTGCTGTTTAGAAAAATATGAAAAAGACTTCTGCAGTGATCAGTATCTTGATTTGTCAAGAGACATTTGTACACAAAGAATTATTAAAAAAAGAAGGGAAAAAAAAAGACTCCGGATTGTTTCTTAAACCATCTTGTTTACAAGTTGACAAACTAAAAAAAAAATCTTTTAATTACTTCAATACTCATTTTACACATCACCCCCCCCATTTCATTCTGTTGTGCATCTGCATGTACGTACAACAGTGTGTAATGGAAACAATGACAATGAGTGATTTAGTTAAGACCAAAAGTTGTTTCATTATGAGGTGCATGATATCGTTTCGCTGTGCTTGCACAGGACTAATAACCATAAGCAGTCCAGATGTTAAAGAACGCCAAGTGCTTAAAGTATTGTACTTAACAGGATAATAAATGTGATCTGTGGCGTCAGACCTCTCACATTAAAGAGATTACAGCCTAAACCTCTCACTGGACGAGCTCCAGAGGAAGGTCTGTGAGGACAGAGCTGTGAAATGTTTCATGTACATAACATCGAGAATCCGTATGTAAAACCAAAGGATGCACGTCAGGAGTGGCTGATATTAGCCTTTTTCTGCAAATGTCTTAGGCTGGCCAATGTTTATGGTCTGGCTGGCTTTCATCAGTATATTGGCAAATAAGATGGCAGCGGCTGATGTTTATCTATTGTGTTGGCTCAATTTTGCGCTGCCTAAATGTTGTTTTCATTCTGGGGATTTCTTTAGTTCCCTGGCACAGAAGAAATAATACAAAAAAAAACACTGGCATTGCTTATTGCTCCGACTGATTGGTTTAAAACATCTGTCACACTGTGAAATACAGAATTATGAAATTCTGAGCCAATGCAGATGTTTGAAATATTTTGGCTGATAGTAGACTGAGGTACTGTTTACATCTTGTGCCAGAAAAAAAAAAATCTATACTCAAATTTACACCCAAAATTAACCAGGATTTAGTTTAGTTTTTGTCTTCGTTGAAATCAACACCAGGATAGTAATGTTTTCTTAGTTGGGCTTCATTTAGTGAAGCATAAACGCCATTGTTGGTTATCAAACAGCAATAGATACCACAAGAACAATCACAGACTTCTGTTAAATAAGGGACCCCAGACTCAGCTTTGTAAATCCAGCCTTTCGTATACCTGTTTAAGAGGCAGGAAACCCCCTGCAAACTAGTTTAAAGTCTACAATCCTTTTATCACACTAACCTTTGAATGAAATAAACACAGAAACAAAACAGAAATTTACACTTAACATATAAACATCAGCTACTGCAATCTTATTTGTCAGTGCAAAGCATGATGGCAGTTGTTCAAATACAAAATGTTCCAAAACAGGAAAGGCCTGCTACATGAATGGTCATCTCTCCATCCCTTGTGAAACCCTCACTGGCTTCATATGGTGCTGCCAACATTTCCTCTTCCTCTAGGGTGTATTCATCATCAAAGTCAGGGACAAACATGTCAGCCGCTGGGTCAAAATAAAAATCGCACTCGTTTGAACATCCTGCACCTCCTGGGTGTGAATCCTCTCCAGTTCCCTTCGCTCATTATCTTTCAGTGTTTGTGTGGCATTTCTTAGCTGTCATTTTAAACCTAATCTCAATTCATTTGTCTAGGCTTGTCTGACAGGCAAAGCATAATATTTATCATAGTTTGTTATGTCTATATAATGTATGCCAACACAGTAATGATGTCTCAGAGAAATGAGTCATCAGCAGGAGAACAGCGTAGGAGTATCAGCAAGTGCACTGCCATGTCAATGAGTTTGGAAAGGTGAGCTTCACAGTCAGCCGAGTTGGACTTCGTAGCATGTGCTTTGTGGCAAACACCTCTTTTTGAGCACCCCTCAGGTAACCCCACTATCACTCACAACAATGACTCATTATTATTTACTGCATCTCTCAGGTGGAACAAATGGAGAGAGAAGAAAAAAGTTTACAGATATTCTGTTGCCTATGTTGAGCCAGTGGATCATATTAAAATACCTGCAAAGTTTCTTCAGCAGCAAATCTGGTACTCCAACTTGGCAGCAGAAGCATAAACGTGGGCAAATGACTCAGACTGTTTGACTCTTGAACTCAGCAAGTACAAAATGTTTTCATATTACACAACTGATAGTTACCTGAAATATATGTTGTTTGGAAGAATCCCACAAAAACATGAATCTTTTTCCCCCTGTATAAAACAGTGTTTTAATTTTCCAAACAGCGTCTTAATTTTCCAAACAGCATACTGCTCCTCGTAGGGCTGTGCGATATGACCAAAATCTCATATCCCGATATAAGAATTCTATCATCCCGATAATGATATAAATCACAAAAATGTAACATTTTCTGTAAATTCTGTGAATCTCGAGCAGCTCGACTTGCGGGAAGTGTTTCCAGCTGCGCGTCATGTAGCTGGAGTCGAGTGTTTTAACCGATGCACGAAACGATACATTTTTTGACATAAATTGTAACGGCTGCCGTTTTCTTTGTGAGTATTTATTACACGGCGTGCTGCGGGGAAAAGCCTGTTCTAACGTTTGAGTCTAAGGTTTATTTTTTAGCACCTGACGGCTCTTTTTTAATTCTCATCCGTAAATAATCTGCTCTTTCACGTGATTCAGTTTATTTTGAAAAGTCTCAACAGGATCTTGAGCTTTATTGTGAAAGGTTTATGTGGAAAATAAACAAGCAGACACACGGTGGTTTTACCGTTGTTGTTGCTAACCACAACGCATAAAAACAGGCACTTGTCCGTCCGTAGTGTGGTTATTAAAATATAAGAGAAAGAAAGAACTGTAATAAATTAATATAGCCACTACAGTGACCATTAAACGATGAAAAAATATTGCCGTAAACAGTTTATTTCGCGACACCCCGAAACAAACGATAGCGTAAAATGAAACGATAGATGTTTTTATATCGTCATCCGATATATATCGTTATATCGAACAGCCCTAGCTCCTCGGGGTTCAGAATCAGTGTTATTACTAAATGACAGGAGTTTAAGCAAAGCTCTCGCTTATGCACTGGCATTAAGATCTGCATGAAAGACACTGCAACTTACTAGCACTGCACGCTCACTCTGTAGCGCACAATATCTGTAGGCCTTTTATTTGTGGTCGATGCAACAGACGACCAATCAAGTGAAACCAACTCAAGATCCGTCTTGCTCTAACAAGTATTTTAACAGAGCTCCTACTCATTTTACACTTCACACACGTTTTCTCAACTACAGTTTATTGGCTAGAGTCTGAAATGTGGGTCAATGTTAAGAGATACCAACTGCGCCTGGCAAATATGACCACAAACAAGCATTCCCTGACAACGACTCAGTTTTATACACTTCCACACTTGCATGGGTGTCTGAACTGCCTTAAATAAAATTCAAAGCCACGAAGAGCTCTGCATGGAGTAACAGGGGAACCATATCAGAGCTGTGAACTGGCATCAAAGGACACAGCATGTGCCCAGAGCTGAACCATCTGCCCCTTGTAAACCCATCAAGCACAGTCTACGCCAAGAAAAACATCTTATTGTGTCAACTGTGAAAGTGTTCACCACTGAGGATTTTAGACATCATCCACAACATCCTAAATCCCAGCATTTCCTGCTTGCTGCAGGCTCTAAAAGAGCACAGGAGAGAAATACACAACTTTTTACCAAGCACTAACTTAACCACAATCTAAAGATTGAATAGCACTCTCAACCAAGACTCAATTTGGCACGGTTACACAAATTGAAGGGTCAGGACAAAAACAAAGCGCCAGATTTGGCTGCGACTGCGAGCGTGAGCAGGCTGGGCAGGCACACTTATTAAAAATTTCACACAGCCATCCATGTTCACTGCCCACAAACACACAACTTCCTGCAAATTAGCCAACAGCTCTGTGTCATTGTACATTTAAAAAGTCCTTCCTGGGTTAAACCCAAACTGCAGAAGCTGTGGTTCTCTGAGCTCAGAGACTTAAAACGTTAAAAGTTAAGCTTTGCACGCACATTTAGATCAGACTTCTCATATCTAAATTAAAAGCATAGTTTAAGTCTTTGAAACACCAGCCTGTATTGATAATTACAAGCAAAAATTGAAGCACAATGATGCAAGAAATCAAACCACTCCAAACTAGTATTCAACTGAAATACATTTCTTACCAAATGTACTTAACTGTTGTCTGCACTGTTACTCAGCAACTGTTACAGCTCAGAGAGTACTGCTTATCAAAGCGTTGTCTACTGACATGACATGAGCTTATGTAAACTACATGATCCAGTGTTTAACTGGCACAGTGAAGGATGCGTTTGCTCATAAAACCGCCACAAAGAAACTGCCCTCTCTGAACCCTACCGTCTGACATGCTGATGAACCCAGGAGCTTTGTGAGATAAGGAACCTGCATAAAGCGTGCACGTAAGGTGCCAATTAAACCTGAGCCTGGCCCAGACCTGCCTTTGCGAGCTTCTATAAAGGATATTGGTTCGGCGGGTTGCAGCAGGCAGCCCTGAGCCTTCTCTGACCTAAAGATATCCTGATCTTTCACAGCTGTGATCCTCACAAGCATGGTTCACAGCCTGGGATTTCCTCTGCAGAGGAGTTGAGAGTGTCGGATAAAAGGATTTTGTGAATGGCACATGAGAACAAGTGAACCAGGTTATTACGGGAACCACAGCAAAAGCCTGTGTTAGCCAAACTTTCAAGTTGATGTGCCATTATGCTGTTTGAACTTTCAACAGTTTTTGGATGCTGAAAATTACTTGTCCCTATGGTCTTGCTTCCAAAAAAGTAAAAATAAGAAACTGGGACTTTAAGTAAATTAAATGTTATGCTTTTTCTTATATCCTGCTTTGTACAATCAAGTTACAATGATGAAATGAGCATATTACAAAAAGCTAAAGGTTCAAATGATGAGTTTAGCATATTTACCAGTACCAGCCTGAAGCTCAGCCTTCACACTTATCTGAACACAATTTCTTTTCTGGCTCTGCATGATGTCAGTGAAAGCAGATCTCTCTCATATGGTCAAATCAGGGAACCAGCTTAGGGTGAGCACAGCGGCCACTCCCAACTTCAGGTCAATCCTTTTGTTTGTAAGATGCAGCCAATAAGAAGAAAGCTGGCTTAAATTTAGAGGAGCTTGCACAGTTTGCATCACACAAAGGACGAACTGAGGGGCTGCAAAGAATTAGTTTGAGCAGTGGATCATGCAAAGCTACTCTAATAGCTAATTAGTAGGCTTACTGTTCATTTTATAAGAATATGATGATTCATGATCATGTATTAGCACACTATGCTTTGTAATGTATGCATTTGACTTATTTTGGTACAGACAACGTTTTTGGTCTTGTGACACATCTAGTGCAAAGTGGGCACAAATAGTGAAAACAACTGGATACAAAGTAGCTTCTAACGGCTTTTCACCCGAGAAAACACAATCTAATATTGAACCTCAGATTCTCTTGTTCTTCCCACACAAAATGTTCTGGGACTCAGTGGCAGTTCTGCTTTCTGTCACGGTCACAGATGCAGATCGAGGAGAGACAAATGAAAATCTATTTTTCACAGCACCACGCGTTCCCTCCATTAAATGTTCCCAAGAAAAAAATAGATGACTCCAATAAAAGTTGCCATGGCAACAAAAGTGTGGCCTCCAGCAGGTGTTTTCAGCTCAACATGCCCAGAGGAAGGCGAGGAAGTGAGGGTGGTGCATTTCAGCAAATCCAAGCACACACATTGTGTGAAATCCACAAGTACTGCTAGTTTTCCACAGATGAGAAAAAGTGATTTATGTTGAACAACACTCAAAATTCAGTGGAGAAACAACGTCGCTCAATATCAACCCTCACAAAACATCACGCAGGTGCATAAGTACTATATGATTAGTATGGGAGAGGGGGACGTCCTTTCAATTTAAAGCTAAAGTGGTCACGAATGCAAGCCCCCTCTAAAGTATTAACATTTTAAATTTAACAAAGGTTAACTTGACACATGCCCATACCTAATACTTGTTAAATGACCCTGTAGTCGAGCTGTAATATGGTAGCTTTATGGACGTAGTGTGCACCAGACATCATTTTTGTCCATTTGGTTTTTTTGAAGGAGATCCACACGCAGCATTTTGGTGGCTGTGTTTTGTTTGGCTTTACATGTTTCTCCTGTTTGCACAGAAGCATCCAATTTCACTGTGCCACACATTTTAGTAACACTACCAGAAATCAGTGAAAATTCTAGAAATCACTCAATTTAAGACCGATAGTCGATTAAACAAACTGTTCAATACTTTGTGTGTTAATGAATACACACAAAGAGAAATCATGACTGCAAACAGTGTGAAGGATAGATGTAGCTTCCAGGACTGAAAAGCGTATACCTGACAGCCAGCAGGGGGCGACTTCTCTAGGTGAATAAGGACATTACTGTTACAGATGGGAAAACTAGCCTCAACTCCCTTCCCCTCCATCATTAAACCATTTCCTGCTGACTTAGCATCATACTAAATAAAACATTGAGACAATTCTGTAAATTATAATTAAAGACAGGAGGATTTACTGGCTGACGTATTGTGAATCATAAATTGTGGCGTCGCAGGGACAAAGTCCAGCTCTAAAGCATTTTAATTTTGTAGTCAAAAACGTGGTTTACAGATTTACCTTTTAACTTCCCCAGATGTTATGGAACAATTCAATGTGAGTGTAAAGGTAACGGCCACTGGAACACACAAACTATTTACACTATGCAGGACAAGGTGCAAGCAAAGATGTCCTGTTGCATTGCAAAAATAGATTGTGTCAGAAGTTAATTGTTTGCCAGAGGTTTGAAGGTTTAAATGCTGATGAAATTAATCCCTTGATTATATTATAACAACAACAACAAAAACTTCCACCTGATTTAGATTCTGGTTACACTTGCAAGCTAAAATTCTGAATTAAAGAGACAAAGTGATGCACATGCATTGTGACGCAACAAACACTCACAAACTGTGCCTGCTGGTAAGTTAGAACAACATAACTCTCAGCCAACATTTGGGTATTTAGTCAGTGCAACAACACCCCACTGTTCCTGGACAGGATGTGGGTCAGGGAGCTAAGCCACGCACAGGCTTGGAGTAAAACTGTCCTCTTTATCTCTTCTGTCACACTGTTATGCAATTTCTGCTGTGTATGTGCACAGCAGGTTGAGGAGGGTATGAAAGCAGGATTTCAACTTGCTTTACATCCCATCTGTGGATCATGTTTGTGTCTGCTGAGGCATCTCAGGTGGTGTATAAAAGTGAATTAGAAAAAGTCAGTGGGGCCGACCAGATGAGCAGGTAATGCATGAGCAACTTAAACTTTGTGTACAATCAGAAAAACAGCTTTCATTTCAGGTATAAACTCAAAATGAAAGGCTTTGTGGTCAAAACATATAGACCAATCTGTCTACAGGCAAATGCAAATTTGTGTATTTGGATATAATTTGAATATGTGTAATCTCAAAACACGTGAGTAAAAGCAGAACAATATACTATAGTGTTAAAAAACAAAAATCCGACTAATACCACAGTACAGACATCTCAGTGGGCCAAACTCATGCAATTATGAAGGATTCAAGTAATAAATAAGTAGTTGCAATAAGACACTTTCATAAGAGTAATTTAAGCCCAATTTTCAGAAACATAACTGAAATTCTCTATCGTCACTGTTTTCTTGCCATCGACGCTTCTAACCAATAAGATACTTGGAATATGGCTCCAGAAAAGAAGACTACATCCACGTGCTGCACTACACGAATGAAACTTCCCCATGAATGGCACCGTCATGGCTACACCATGCATGTCGTAACACAGTTTACAGGAACTGAACCACGTATATGTGAAGAGGAGTGCAGTTATTAATCATAAAGCAGAGCTTTGGGACATATTTTTTAAACCCCGCGTTCTCCGCGAAACAGGCAGCACACATGGCAGGGCTGTGGCTGTCAACACGAGGCGCCTAGCTGTCAACCGGGGTTGAAGGCTCAGTGTCTCCCCCTGGCATTCGCTAACGAAAAGTACACCACGTCCAAGGCCTATCCCGCTCGCCTTTACCAACGAGAAAGTCAACAAAATGGTGGAACAGATAGAGGTCACGTGACTTCTTTGTGCATTCAGGTACTGCTTAAAAGGAAATAAACGGACACAACACGGCTTACCAATAAAATATCACAATATTGCAACCTTACACAGCCACTCGTGGTGAAACGGGTTAGTAGAATTCAGTTTTCATCGAGCTCTATCGTGCGCACGAAAGAGAAAATATGGCGGCCATTTTGCACAAGCTTGCGCAGGCAACATAGCGGCGCCTCGCGCTATGAAAATGCCGCCAAAGATCCACCGCCAGTCGGGCAGCAATAAAATAACATACCGATTCCTCCTCTTTTTCCATCCCCGTTGGCATCTGCGGTACTGCCCGGTTGATTGAGGCATATTCGTGCAGGTCCGGCAAATCCTCGCAGCGGAAGACGGGCAGGGGCTTACTAGCATCCAGTGCCCGTGCCCGAAACGACAATTTACTCATTTTTATAATAAAAGATGCAGCATAAATCTATTCGATCTGCTAGGAATAACAGCAGGTCTGCCTCGAGTTCTCATGGATGAATCTGTGACGGTCTCTGAGAGTCAGCCGGTCGATTGAGGGCGGGCTTGGGTCCGTAGCAGCGCGAACAGAGCCGGGCAGGCCCGGGTCTCGATCGCTCTCTGTCGGTCTCTTTCTCTCGTAGGCACCGCTGTTCCTCCCTGGTTCAATACGCCATTGCCAACATGGCGGACATTACAAACTCATGCAGCTCACCGCTCGCTCCAAGCGGCCCAACCCCCTCGATCATACAAACAGCCATTCCCACGCAGTTTCGCACGCGTGCGCGCTCGCGAGACCCTTGGGGTACGAGAAAAGGGAGGAAGGAGGGGCTGAATCGACAGCGGGGGGAAAAAAAACCGCTGGATGCTGATGATGGGATGTGAACTTCCTAGGCTCGGGATGTTCTCATGCTGTTATACGACAGGCTAATGCTGACGTAAGAAAATACATATATTTTACATCTTCAAAAAAAAAAGTGTATATAGATATTGTTTTTAAAAAATGTAAAAAGGATGTAACTCATTCATTATGCCGCCACATATAGACAGATCGTATTAAGGACTGACACACCACCCTAACTCAGAGGTTTCACGGGTGTTTTCTAACACAGCAAGGACGCAATTCTTCAAACTTGTATCGTGTGTTAAAATTATTATGAACAACCAGAACATGCTGTATCAATTAGTGAATTGTTTTGCAAATATCGCCACCCTGTGGTGCAAACACTACACTTTTAATTAAAATTGGAATGACTTGTGTTTATGCGAATGCACAAAACGTATTAACATGGTCAGAGCCAGGAAGTAGTCCGATGTGTCGTCATCACAGCCGCAACGTTACGCCCAAATACTACAGAATATATAAAATGCTCTAGAAGGTGAACGCAACAGGAACAAAACTGGTTTAGGTTGAGCAATAAACAAATATGTATTCTGGCCTTATTTGTGTTGTTGTATGTGAAGAGCAGTTCACCCTGGAAACTGAATATAAAATACACTTACTGTAAAGAAGTTAATGTCCATATATATAAAAATGACAGTATCTTTTATATATTATATTATTATACACTATTGATCTATTGACTGTAGTGGCCATTGAAGTACAGTGAACTCACTATCATGTTCATGAAAAGTATGATTTAGATGATTTCAGTTTCATGACATTATGTGTGCCACCAGAAGATGGGCACACTGGTCATTATGGGATAAATATGGTCAGTACCAGCTTAGTTCAGTTACTACTAAGGGCCCCAAAGTAAATATCCCACAGAACATCATCCTGATCCATTAATAAAAAGCAGTATGGATCCACACTTTCATGTAGTTTACAACAACTTGTGACCCTTCCAAATGTCACAACAGAAAATGAAGACTCAAGCCTGGCAACATTTTTCCAAACTTCTGTCCAATTATGGTGAGTACTTGCAAACTGCAGGCTCAGTTTTTTGTTCTTAGCTGACAAGAGTTACACTCAGTGTAGTCTTCTGAGCTGTGGATCATCTGCTTTAAGGTTCACTGTGTTGTTCATTCACAGATGCTCTGTGTAACCACTGAGTATTTGACTTACTTTTACCTTGCCCTTTAGCTTAAAGCTGTGTGGCCATTCTCCTCAGACCTCTAGCATCAACAAGGTACTTTCTCTTTTGTGAACATTTTCTGAAACCCTAGAGACGGTTGTGTGCGGAAAAATCCCAGTACATCAGCAGTTTCTGAACTACTCAGACCAGTCCATCTGGCACCAACATCCCAGGTTCAAAGCTACATAAACCATCTTTCTTTCCCCTTTCTGATGCTCAGTTTGAACTTCAGTAGTTTGCGTTGGCCATGTTTACATGCCTAAATGCATTGAGTTAGCACTAATGAAAAGGTATATCTAACAAAGTGATTACATCCCAATGTAAAAAAAACAACAACATCTGAATCCAGGAAGCACCCTTATTTATATCATTTTTCAAGTGCATTACTTTACTAAGTGACCTTTACTGTGTATTTCATATTTGACAATGTGCATCTTTTTGGTGCCTGGCCAGTAAGAATAAGAAGTACCCCAGAGCAATAACTCTTTCTAATCGGTACATACATGCCGTTTTAACCACAACAATGTTTCATGCCTTTTTTGGCAACAGAAACAAAAATACACTGGTGCATATAATGCTTTAATTTTTTAAGTGTCAATTTGCTGTGATTAACTGTAGCTTCATCTCGCCGAAGCTTCATCTTCTCATTGGTGGTTGCCAGTACAGGAAATGCTGCAGAAAAGTAAACCTACCACCCTGACTGGTTCTTCTGAGATGTAGTTTACATCTGACCAAATGTTAGATGACACATTTCTCACTTTCATTGGTGCATCATTATCAGCATCACAATTTCTCACTGCAGAGAGCTGAAATAAATCAGGGAAGCCACCAACTTCCAAACTTGTTCATTTCAGCAAATGTTTATCACAGCACATTTGCTGGTCCGTTTCATTTAATGGAACAATAATTAAATGCAATAGCTTCTTCATTCTTGACCATTAAGCCATTAGCTGCATGAATTCTTGTTTTCCATTTTTATAGTTGATCAAGAAAGTAGGCAGCCTGAATAAGGATATTTCTGGCTTTATGAACACAGCACTTTTTACTTTAATATTACTGCTCCAAGATGATTTCTCGGCATGCAAACATGCACTATTATACACAAAGACTCAATACATTAAAAACTACAGCATTAATACAGATATTAGGAGGAGGCACAATAGATAGGGCTGAACGCACAGACCAGCTAGGGCCTTTTTGTGTTAAGTTTGCATCTTTTCCCTGTACATGCCTGGTCTCTCTCTACAGATACATTGGCTTGTTCCATTTCCTTGATCATTCCTGCACTGCAGCCTGTTTGTTCTTATTTTTATGCCTCACCCTCCTCCCCACTTTTCCCAGTTCTCACACCCCTCATTAGTACACAAGGATCTGTCTGACCTGGGGCCACTGCCAGTCCTCACCAAGGCCTTCAAATCCATAAATCTCAGACCTGCTACTAGCGAAATCGATGTTAGATTAAGCGGTGAGTCTAAATTCATCATAAATGTGAATCTGTCTCTTTGTGTTAGCCCTGTGACAGATTGGCATCCTGTCCAGAGTTGTACCCCACCTCTTGCCCATTGACAACTGGAATAGAGATTGAAAATGTGACGTCATTCAGGGGTAACACCACAAAGGATTCTGGGAAGTCGTGGCAAGAGGTACTAGCGCACACAGGCTTTCAATTGAAATCTGTTACACAGCGATAAAAGAAGCAAAAAAAATGGCAAGAAGCTGTTGTATTATTAACTGCAATAGCCGGTCGCATGTCAGCCATGGGAAGCCGACGGGTAAAGAGATCGGTTGTTATCGGATTACATTGTTGAAGAGAAATTGTTCAAGCCATGTTTCCGAAGTAACAAAGAGGCGACGGATGGCCTGGATTGCAGCCATTCAAAGACCAAATATAACGTCCCAGAACACTCCAGCTCACATGTTAGTCTGCTCCAAGCCTTTACACGAAGGTTAGTGTTTTTTAGTAGTTAATACGTCATTTTTCTTAACATAATTGGTGATATAGGTTACAAGCAAGTCTGGTGCTGAACAGAAATTGTCGCGCTATGCTCCTTTGTTTATTGTGCATAAATAGTGAATTGTCCATAAATAGTGAATTGTCCATAAATAGTGAATTGTCCAGACAGAATATTGTGTTTCACTTCTGTTATTACCATGGTACATTGACAAAAACATATACTTCATTCACAGGATAAAACAGTTTTTTTGTATCACTAATTGCCCAGTACAATTACAGCATACAATATTATTGTCACTGCTGCATTTCTGTAATGCGTACCAGAAATTATTTCCACTACTAATTAATTACAGTTTAGCTCAAAGTTCCCATTAATAAACTGTTAACGAATGTGTATTTATGAAGACGATTTGTGAGACTGGTAAACTTACATTTGTTCGTACAATGGTCTTTCGTTCTACACAGTGCATTTCAAGTTCCTGTACCCATCCGTCGGTAAACTGTACCTGGGCTTGTTGCAGTGACCTGAAGTTACTAAACTTCATGAGTGTATGCACTCACTCCAAGAACCGTATAATTAGCGTGGTGAAAGTTGGGCAGCACGCGAACGTATTTTGTCCACTCTGTGTGCTCGTACGGGTCTAACCCTTTCACTCCTTTGATTTTTTTCCTCGTATCTTTCTTTGACTTTACATCAAGTCTGTCTTTGTACGGACCGGCATTGTTCTCCTTCGTTTTGTACATACCTTTTTTGGGGAGCAAAGAAAAAGCAAGAAGGTATTGGAATCGGAGAATGAACGTTTTGCGGTGCTTCAAATGCTTGCATTTGACGCGGTACTTGGATTGTTTTGCCACGAGTTCCCAGCATGCAATGCGCGAAAGTCACATGGTCTATCAATCTCTATCCGGTTGTTCAGTCTGACGTCACTAGCCGTGTCTGGACCTAAACTCTGCTGCAGGTCCATATATCAAACGATCACTATGGCATTACTGAGAGTTGAAAAACTGTCTAAAGTCTTTCATCTATAATAAAATGATCAGCGTTCTGCTCTACCAGGTGTAACAATTGAGTTTAACATCCAGGCATCCATGAAAACGGAATTTATGACATTTAACGGAGTTAGAAGTTAGCAGGGAGTTAGCTCGCTAGCTTCTATCTAAATACAATATAGCATGTCCTGACTGCGGGGTTTTGGAAACAAATTAAAACGTACAGCTCTGTTATCACTTCCAGCATAAATGAAGACAGAAAACTAAAAAGCAGTGACGTTTGTAGGGTTACTGAAGTTGGGCTAGCTGGTATAATGATGTGCTACGTGACCGCTAGCGACACAGCTATGTTAGCATAATATAAACAAGCTAACTTTTTTTCCACTCGATAAAAGTTAACGTGAGTGTTCTCGGTGGTCAGGAACAAATGTAATCGCATGGCATGATGGTGTAAAAGGACCAAACTTCAGCCAGGAGAACAACTAAGATAATCCATCCACAATACGAGGTTAGTCATTCATATACTGCTGCGTGGGCTGGGCTGTAGTTACATCCTAAGGTTTAAAAAACTGAGCTTAAATAAATGATTAGCGGTAATAAAAGCAAGGGAGGTCAACAGTGATCACTGACTGTTTTAGGAGCTTTTTGAGATTAAATCGAAGAAAATACATAACATTAAACATGTTAACAACACAAAAGCCATATTAAACGCAGACTACTTTAGGCCCGGAAGGAGGATTCGTCGCGTCATCACTGAACAACCGGATAGGCCCCAGCCCTACTATGATCCTGAATTGGATAGGTGGAAGAAAACCATGGAAACCAGCTACCCTCCCGTTACAGTCTTCATCAAAATCACTGAAAATAAGAAGAAACGCAAATAACCTGAAGAGATGGGTGAAAATTTTTGTGGCGATGAATACAAGATCCAGGTGAAGATTTTGGTCACAATAATCATCATCCATTTGGGAGACATAGGCTGACATCTGTAGACCATAATGGAGGCCTGTGAAACAAAATGAGTCAAAAAAGAAGAAGTGCTTATAAACATCATTATTACTGGAAGTTATTACTGGAAACAAATATAAATTCTAAGCCCAGAAGACATCTCAGCATCTGCTGTGAGATTATTTTCTCTATAGGACTCTTTAATTCTGTATGCAGGTTTACAATGGAGAAAACCTCGACAATTTCTACATCTGCTATCTACGTATACACTAACGCTGCCAAGTAAATGTTTGTACGGATGAATTTTCCCATATCCATTGGCTTTGGACTGTTTTGAAGCACACAGAGCAAGTTTTGCTCCTGCAATAGAGTACACAGTAGAGTAAGCCATATATGGTGGAACAGATGGGTAAACAGAACAGGACACGACAGCAAAAAAGCTGTATGGTATCGTTTTAGCAAATGACAAGCAATTGGGCACCGCTTCGACCCCCCCAAAAAATGAGTTTTCGAGGGCTTTTAATTTGTTCAGTTCTCAAGACCAGACACAGTTGCTTGCACAAAGAAAAGCGATAGAGATGCTAGCTTAACGCTAGCTTAGCCCAGTTACCCTGACCCTGCGCCATTTACTAGCCAGCTAACAGTTTGCGGACAGCCACCAACAGTTTCATTTGAGCTCGCAAGTGACTTTAAAGCCACAACTTTCGCTTCCCAAGGATACAACACGGGGAAAACAAGCTTGAGCTTGACTCGCAACTTACCCGGTGCCAGCAAACCCACAGGGGAGGAGGAGGATGGTGATGATGGCAGTTGTTCTTCTGGCTGTCATGCTAGCCTAATGCTAACGCTTGTTAGCTCCCTTCTAGGACGCCTCAGAGGGAAAAAAAAAAAGAAGGATATTCAGTTTCTTTTTATGTATATGCAAATGCCGTTGATGCAAAAAGAGAGGTCATTGGAAGCCAAAGCAAGGGTAAAGGAGGAGCTGTCCTGTCGCTGACGAAAAACTTGGTTAGTTAGCTCAGGTTACTTCGATCCAAAAAAAAAAAACCTAAAAACGATCCAAAGTGACCACCAAACCACTTTACAGGCGGATTGTGATTGGACGGTAAAAGCCACCAATCACCTGTGGAGAACTCGGGGAGGATGAGCTCACTAGTAACCCCGCCCACCCACGAATAACAACAACATAAGTAACAATAATAATAATAATAGGAAAAATGTTGTCATGCATTAATGCGAATTTATTACGGTAGTGTGCAAATAATATGATTTAAATAGGCTTTTAAACACAGACGGAGTCAAAGGGCAAAACTTATTAGAGCCACTTACTGAACAGCAAATAATCAGATACATTTTTTTTCATAACATAGCTGCAGTATTTGTTACATAACTGTCTCCTGGGCTGGTCACCTCCCTCCACCGCCCTCTGCCCCTCCACTAGTTTTGTCGCAGGGCAGGGCTGCTCCTGCTTCCTTTTTCCTTCCTTTTCTGATGCTCTGATATCTGCACTGCACATTTTTCATGATCAGACACCGTCCAAAGAGAATGCTGCATAGTATAGTGGAAGCATATGGAGTCATTTTCTGTGCTGCTTCAACACCACCACCACTGCTGCTGCTGCCGCCTCCCACCTCCCACTACCCCCACTAGCTGTTAAAGCTGCATGCACGCCTGCCCAGTGACTCTGGGAGTGGAGGGGAGGCATCACTTTGATGAATATTGCTTTGCTCAACTCTCCCAGCAAGGTCATCAGCAGCCATCTGTAGGCAGTGGAAAAAAAACCCTAATATCCATTTAGATCTGAACATCCCATTGTTTCTCTGCGTTTACACGATTCAGCCCAGTGCACCGGTTAAGTGGTTGGCACATACACTAGCTGCACATTTAAAGTTGTGCAGCATATCTGTCTCTATATCTGTTTAACAAATGCACAGGTCTGCTAGAGTACAAAAAAAAAAAAATCCCAAGAGTCAGGATTTTGCACTGGTGTCAAAAATGTCATCTTCTATAGCTACAGTGACTCGAAGCACCTTCCATCTTTTCCTGCATAGTGACACTTTCTTTTCCTCTCATCTAGAGGGCAGTGGAGACCTGCGCAAAGACCTGTGCTTCTGCTGGAATTGCAATGCAGAATGCAGGATGCTCACCTCACAATCTCTCGCCTCCTGAGCCCCGAGTTACACAGCTGAGCCAGCCATCAGCATAAATGGGAACCCCCCCCCAAACACATATGCATGCCCCAACAAAATCTTCAGCTATATGTAATTAGCCTTTGTGGAATTTCAAAATGTGAGGGCATAACTTTGCATATATCCCACGGACAGCAAGCTTGTATATAAGAAGCAGCTTATGATGGAAGGGAGATGCTCTTAGAATATGTGTGCGTGCCGTGCATGCAGTGAAGGATTGAAGACATGCAGTCCAAGGTTGCGTGTTTGAGATCAAAGGCGAGTAAGTTAGACATCAGCGTCAACATCCACCTCACCCTCAGCCCCCCCACCCCAACCCACCAACCCACACAGACAAGTTGGTCCCATCTGTTGACAACAGTTCAGGGGGAAGGATGTTGTTTCATTGTGCTTCACGACGGGGATCCTGATTGAAAAGTTGATCTCCTTCCATGGCTGCTATCAGTTCTCTTTATATTTCCAGTTGACAACTGTCATGATGGCCCTTTTGTAGATGGTGTTGTCCTTCTGCAACACAACAAAACAAGTGTCACGACATAACTGTTATTCAGTATTTGATTTACTT